TAATTGAAATCCTACGTAAGGCCCTACATTCCTGGGACAATCAATTATCTGGGGAAGGTTTGGGGGTGAGAGGGAAGAAGCAGTGTAGATAGAGCAAATCTGTTAACTTGTGCAGACTTTTGCTTAGAAACCCCCTTACAAACATACACACACATCATGGTCCTGGCACTGGTCTAGAAGGGAAGCAGTGGACCAGACTCGGGGGGAGGGGCAGAGTACACCATGATGGTTACGGAAGAGTAAAGATTCAAGATGAGTGTGTGTACCATGTGGCTATCCATGTGAGTTCTGTCATTCCTGTGTTGAGGAACACAACCTGACTGCGGAACTTGAGTCACCAATGTCCATCTGAGGGGCTGGTCACAGAACCACCATCTGTTCCACACCAAGAAACACAATGTCACCATTAACAATTGCACGCAGAATGTGGGAGAAATGTCTATAACACATTAAGTGAAAAATTCTGGTGAAAAAGTAAGTAGAGTAAGACTTCATTTAAGTGTGTGTGTGTGTATGTGTGTGCACAAAATGTCATGTAACATTAATGATTAATTTTGGCTATGAAATTCAAATTGTTTTTATTGTAAAAATATTTTGCCTCTGAATTCGTGCTATAGATGTGTTGCATTTGTAAATGAAAATATCCAATAATTCTTTGTTTTTCACATGTGAGAGAGGTTCCATGGCCTGGCTCAGGAGAACAGGTCCTGCCTCTGGCTCCCATGGCCCCTGCAGCAGCTGTTGGAAGCCTGATTCCTGCCTCTTGTTGCATCCAGGGATCAGGAGAGAGCAGGCTGGCCCTGAACGGGATCCTAATGAAATAAAGTCAGTGTCCTCAGCTCCTTGCCATCCCTGTTCTTCTCCCACCAAGTTCTCCCCCTAAGCACCCCTCCCTGTTCCTCTTGACCTCTCCAGAGGTGCTAGGTTGTGAAGTAAGCAGTAGTGGATTCCTTTAGACCTCACTTCAAATCTGTGCTTCTACTAGTTATGTGCTTAGGAGCATCTGCTGCTCTCCAGCTGGGTGGCAGGCAGCAGGGTCAGTTGTGAGCTACCATGAACCCCTTCCCATTTTGCTCCCAAATCCCAAATCCAATGAACCACCCAGAGATACTGCTCTGAACCAAAGTGTACCCCTGAGGGTTATTTGAACAGCCAAAGATGTACCTAACATGCATGTACACATGAATGCAATCTCAAATGAGGGCTTGGAAGTTAGGTACAAACACCAAAAGAATGGCCTACACAAACACAGACACCACATACATGTGCATGCATGGTACACATGCATGAACAGGTGTGAACAAAGGCAATGCTCACCCACATGCAAAAGACTAGTGGTGGTTGAGTGACACATCCAGTGAACCAATTCTAGAGACATGGGGAGCACTTTCTAAAGGCCAAGTTTGATTGTCCAGCTCTTAGAATGCAGAGATGAGTAAGCCATTTACAGAAGACTCCATGTCAACTGCCCTGCAAAGAGAATGTGGACAACAGGAGGGGCAGAATCACAGAAGGTGGGGCCAAGGAGGGAGGTAAGTTTAGAGGTACTTTCAACTTATGCAGTGTTTTATATTTTCTAGAACACAGTTATAGGCAGACACAGCAGCCACCCTCCTTTTCTTTTAGAATTTACATGACTCAAGAGAGGCTACAAATGAAGCCAGTGAGAAAGCCAGTCCTTGATTTCACAAGCTGTCTGATTTCACATTCCCACTGGAGTACCAGGACTTTCTGTGAGCCCAGGGGTAGTGGTCCAGATTTTTGTGGACCAAGGTTCCTGGTAGGTGTGACTGATGTGGTCTCCATCTCCTCCTCTCCTAGTCTGAGGTAGAGGCTCCACTAAAAGACACAGGGATGTTCCACTCTGGCCTCTGACATGAAGGTTCTTGGTCTTGTCTTTGACCTTTAGGCAATTCTTAGTTCCCAGAGAGGACAGAGTATAAATTACTCATCAACAAAGGATTTCATTAGGCATAGCTTTCAATAATGTAAAAGTTCTTTTTGAAATGTTTCTGTTAAAACACTTCGGGATACAGAAATCTAGAAAAAGGGCTGGAGAATAGGGTTGGGGCATGGCTTAAGTGGTGGAATGCCTACCTAGCAAGAAGGGGCCCTGAGTTCAAACCCCAATACCACAAAAACAAAACAAACAAAATACCCCAGAAAGCTAGAAATAAAGTACCACAGAATGCCAGAGCTGGGAGATATCTGAGAACCTTCTAGTCAAACTCATTTGCAGCTGAGGCCTGAGGATTTGGGGATGGATCCTCACAGAGGCCCTTTTAGAGACTCCCCACAGATGGCCCCAGGTACTGAAATGAAACATGGCACCACACTGAGAAACAGGAATGGCACCATTCCCTGAGGAGAGAGGCTGGGGAGGAAGTACCTGGTACCCCAGTTTGACTCCATGAGATGTCTGGCCTGTGCTCCAGTGAGAGCCTAGCCTCCCCTCTCATGACCAAGTGGATCCTCGGAAACAGTCCCAGGCTGTGCTGACACCAGAACCTGGAACAGAAAGTGCTTGGAACCTTCCCTGCTGTTGCCATGGTACCCACAATGACCCAAGGAAACTAAAGGCAAGCTCCCTCACCAAAGCACCTTGGCCTATAAGAAGAAAAGGGTGAGCCACAGATGTCATGAGCACTTTCAGAATTCAAGCTCGGAAGGTGACCAGCCTCCAGCTCTCCTGTAATTCAGAGACCAGTGTAATGGGAGCGCTTCCTTTCCATACACTTCCCCTGTGAACACTACATGGTAGGCTAACGGGCTTCCTAACTGTAAGGAGGACTGGTACTTTTCATCCACTTTGGAGACAAACAGGGGCACCATAGTGATGGATAGATTCTGCTTTGACTTGGTTCCATCAGGTCTAGTGGCAAGAAGGAGCTTTGGGGAATCCTGGCTGGGCAGCAGGGGGTGCTGGAGCTAAGGGACTATCATAAGCAGCTCCTGTTCCTCCAGAAGGACTTAGGAACCAATTCTTAAAACTCACTTAAGGGCATATTACCTGGTAGAAAGAAAAAGACAAATACATTTCCAGGCCACTGAGATATCCCTGGGGTTCATAATGAGTTGATAAGACTCTTGGGTATGGAGTCAAAGGACTCAGGAGTGGGGGTAGCTCAGGGTGAACCCCAGCATCCTTTAAACTGAAGTTGGTCCTGTAGGAGTCAGAGTCCTAGCTGGTGTGCTCCACCAGCTGACCAGCTCTGCATCGCATGGAGCGCTCTCCTTCCTCCTCAGATTCTTCTACACTATAATCAGGAGTTGGGGTCATATTAAGAGAATGGGGAGCTAGGTAAAGGTTTTAAGTTGGATAGTTGAAAGTCATTCTGTCCCCTGTGTGGAAAAAGGGTCAAGGAAGTAACTATATATTTCCCAGGGGTGGGAATAACCTCCTTGTGCAGTGTGAAAACCTAGCTATGAAGAAAAATAGATTGATGTGTGTGTGTGTGCTGGGGAGTTAAACCTAGGACCTTGCACTTACTAAACAGGTGTTCTGTCACTGAGCAGTCCAGGTTGATTTGACACTAATTCTTTTTTTTTTTAATTTTTTATTGTTTTATTATTCATATGTACATACAGTGCTTGGGTCATTTCTCCCCCCTGCCTCCAACCCCTCCCTTACCACCCACTCTACCCCCTCCCTCTCCCCTCACCCCCTCAATACCCAGCAGAAACTATTTTGCCCTTATTTCTAATTTTGTTGTAGAGAGAATATAAGCAATAATAGGAAGGAACAAGGGTTTTTGCTAGTTGAGATAAGGATAGCTATACAGGGAGTAGACTCGCATTATTGACACTAATTCTTAAATTAGATATGATCAAAGAAAATACACACATGCACACATTTGACATATATTTCATTTCCAATTAAATAATTTGTATAATATAGATAAAGTCAAAAATCAGTGCTCCACTGGGAGAGCTTTCATAGCATGTATTAGTGATCGTAGTTCTGTATATAGAGAGTGCTTCAGAGCTGCTCAGGAAACTAGTAGCTCCACAGAAATGGGAAAAGTCCATGAATACGTCATTTGCAGAAAAGAAAAGAAAAAGAACAATAAATACATAAAAGAATGCTCAACCTTACTGGTGGCCAGGGAAGTTCAAATTAAAGGAACAATCTGAAACCATCTGTCACTCACCAGATCAGCAAAAATACACATAATGATAAAGTCCAGTGCTTGAGAAGATGTGGGGGAAAGTGCTGGAATGTGGGAATGCAAATAGCCAGAACTTTTGGGAAGGTAATAAACACAAACATAAACAGTGCATGTAAACTGCACTGATCATGTTCAGAGACAGTGGAAAATCTTTCTGTTCATCCTCTTTCATGGCCTCTAAGTCAAGGTGGCCAGAATTCCACTGTCCAGGTCAGTCCCTGGCTATACCTGTTGTTTAGGCTTATCGATAATATCACCCCTTTGGTCTCCTGGTCCAAATGTGAATACATGATCGACCTACTTTCAGCTGTCCTTTGGTCTTCATCCCCTTGGCCAAACATTAAGAGCCATAGGTTAGCTCCTGTGTTGCTTTATCTGAGCTGCTCTTCCAACAAGATGGCAGAGAATTGCCATCTACTTATGTACCTTTAAAAAACTAGATATCTGGCTCGGGTGTAGCTCAGTGGTAGAGCACTTTGCCTAGCATGCACAAGGCCCTGGGTTTTATCTCCAGCACTGAAATAAAATAAATAATAAAAATTGACTATACTCTTAATTTGATAAATAACCCACATTTGAGACTCACTCAATTTTACTTTTCTGGCATCATATAAATTCTTTGGAGCTGGAGGTGTGACACAAGGGGTAGAGCATAGACAAGCACAAGGCCCTGAGTTAAAACCCCAGCATTACCAAAGAAGAAAAAAGAAGAGATTCTTTAGGCCAGTCTCTGCCATAATATTTTGGAGATCCTTAAGGAATTTATTGAAAATTTCAACTTTGGCTTTTTTGTCTTCTAGTTGTTCCTGCTGTGCCATCTCCACTACATTCATGAAAATGTTGAGTTCGGTAAGTAGCTCTGCTTCACAAGAAAGCACGCACTGGAGAGGGGGACAGCAGTGGGTTACAGCAGTATTTCAGTTCCCAGGAGAGCCCGGGCTCTGCACCACGGAGGGCCTCAAACTTTATTGTCTGACTCTGCTGAAAGAAGATGTTGAGGCAGTGCCATCCAGAAACTAGAAAACAGCCCCACGGCTGGGCCAACCACTGAGCGCACCTCACATGACATGAGGACGACATCTAGACTCACTTTCCACAGTTTCCAATCACTCACCATATTTTAGGCACTGTGCTAAGGCACGTTCCCCAAACTTTATTTTAGTTCATCTTTTTGACAACTCTGAGAGTAAGATAATTCATCACCACCATCACTGTCACTGTCATTTCCACCATCATCACCACTATCACTGTCACCACTATCACCATTACCATAGCCATTGCCACCATCATCAGGACCTGCACTGTCAGTACCATCCCCATCACGGTCAGCACCATCGTCAGTCCCATTTTACATGTGGACTAAGAGGCTCAAGGTTGCCCAGAGTTGCCAAATACTAAGCCTGTGTGGCTTAGGATCAATTATACCCATTCCATTCCTTGTGAGTGTCTCTTGCTAGCTTTCTTTGAGTCATCACTCTGAGCCTTATCTCCATACTGGGTGTTCTCCTGCTCCCTCAGGGAAGTGGATGAAGCTCCTTGAGGCCTCAAGAAAATTTCTAAGTAAAAGCCCCTTCTCAGAGATGCAGCAGTTCTGTGTATAAAACTAAAAGAATTTGAAAACAGGTGTTCAAGTAAAAGCTCATCCATGATTATTCTTAGCAGCACTATTCACAAATAACTAAAACGTGGAAACAAACCAGTGTCCATCAACCGATGGATAAGTAGATAATATGTAGTAAAGCCACGCAATTTACTGTTACTCCTCCCTAAGAAGGAATGAAGTATTGACACATGGATGAACCTTGAAAATATTATACTGAGTTGAAAGAAGCCAGACTGAAATTATGTGATTCTGCTTCTATGCAATATCCAGAATAGGCAAATGTATAGATTTGAAAAGGTTAGTGGTTGCCAGGGGCCAGGAGTGGGGAATATGGAGTAACAGCTTAATGGATTCAGGCTTTCTTTGGAGGGTAACGATAATGTTCTAGAACTAGAGAATGGAGATGCTTGCATAACACTGTAAACATATTAAATTGTACACTATAAAATGAATAAAATTGTAACTTTTACATTTTGTGTATTCTCCACCACCACCAAAAACCATGTCCCTCCCCAAGATCTCTGCCATTTAGCATCTGCCTGATGGCGCTAGGATGAGTACTTAAAGAGCAATACTTGAAGCATGACATATTCCTGCTTGTGGATTCTTCAGAGCTACCTACAAAGACCTTTGTTCTCCTTGACCTGCTCTGGCACTTCCTGCCATAAATTCCAGACAACTTTGTAGCTCGAGATCCTTGGTTTGTGGAATATAGCATCCTTCCTTTGAGAAGATGCCCTGTGAGCGATGTTAGCTGCATCAAAAAGCTAACCCATTTAAAAATTTTGTGTTGATTTTCTTTCTACTGTGCAATTTGGAAAATCTGACATTTGGGTGAGGTTAAGAGATTTTTCTCTCTTTCTTTGATTACTAAGCAGCGCCAAGCTCACCTAGAGCGCCGGATTGTAGGCTCAACAAATCGGTGGCGGTTCCCCAAGCGGCCTTTCTCTGGGGACCTGCTGGCACTTTCCCAGATGTGCAAGACTTTGAGCATAGACTTTGATGAAGCTCTGAAGAACCCAGACAGGTAGGGAGAATCAAAGGCCATGACAGGAAGCAGCCATTCAGGATAACCTTCATCCCTGGGTTTCTGGGAGGGATCGTGACTGATGGTTGGGCTTCTCTAACCGGATGGAGGAGCTGTTATAGGCACATCTGCAAGGAAGCCTCCTGCTGGGATCATGCCTTCAACATGGACAGGGCTTGATGCTACTGCCCTCTGGGATGAAAGCATCTGTCTTCTGAGCTCATGATCAAGTCTATCTGAGCATGGGCTGTACCCCTGGGGCAGCATCTAGCATGAAAGAACTGTTTGCTCCTTCATGATGCTGGAAGAGTAAGGCCAGAGGCAGCTGGCCCGCAGGCACCGGGCAGGCTGCTCACTTATGCACCTGCCACTCAGCTGATCTGGGCTCACTTCCTCTGGGAAGTTCAACTATGTCCCATAACCTTCTCCTCATCCTCCTGAGACAGTGCGCTAGCTTGGACATGTGCTGATCGTGGTGACGGCAGAAGACAAGCTAGCCAAGCCTTTGCAGGAGTGCTTTCCTGCCACATCGTGTTCACTAACCTGCCAGTAGTAAAGGCAAGTCACACGTCCAAGCTCAAAGTCAAGGGACAGAGAATAAACTCTATCTCCTCACTAAAGAAACTTTGCAGTGCTAAGATAAAAGGTGTGGATATGGGGGCAGAGAGTGAAGAATTAGAGCCATGGATATAGCCTATCAGATTTTTAAAAATAAACACAAAGATCACAATTCTTTATCTCCACAATAAAATTTATTCCATGTGACTGAGAAACTTCTTGGGAAGCACAATAAAGTTTCATTAATTTTTTTCTATTTATTACTTTGATAAATTATTTAATTCAGGTAATAAAATTAAGAACTTATTCCCTGGTGACACTTGTGTACCTTCAGACACCAGGCGGCTATCATATGTCAGGTCCTACGGCAGATGGGGGTCTGGAATTGTACCATGCAACAGATATACAACCCCCCTACCCTCTAAGCACCCATAGCTCTCCACACCTCTGATGTTGTAATTGCTGCGTCTCCCACTTGGGGGCTCTGTCTACTGTAACAGGAGTTGGACCATTCTCTAGTTTACTAGTTGGGTGAAGGGTCACCTGGAAACCTTAGGTAAGTAGCTCCCTGCTTCCTTTTATTTCAGGTCTGTAACTGCCTCGTACAGTCAGTGCCCTGGGTGTTGCCTGGCTGACCAGCACTGCAGATTGTGTCTATGAGTTTCCATGATGCAGTGAGCTCTCAGGCCTGTTACACAGAGATAATGCACAAGGACCTGCAGGTTGCTGACTCTTCTTGTCCTGGTCTCCTTCACAGGAGCCAGGGTACAGAGCGTGTGTGCAGTGCTGAGAGATAAGGAAATGCTCATTTCCTGTCAAGCAACCTTATCTTTTTGTGCCTCAGTTTCTTTATCTGCAAACTGGATATTCTCTCTTATGGGCTTGCCATGAGAATTATATGACACCTTTATGGAAATAAGCTCACATTAGGCACATCCCAAAGGATGTCTGTTGTGTCCCCTAAACCCAAAGATGCAGCCTAGGGCACGCACTGCTCAGGCTGGGGCCAAGGAAGGGCCACTTTCATCAAGGTGCTGGGAAAAGGCCCTCTCTGTTCCCTGGCTGGTGGTCCTACCCACTGTTTTCCTTTCATCCTCCTGTGATACCAAGGCCACTGTGCAGTGGAAGGAGGTCATGCAAATAGGCGAATGTCAAGGTGGGACCCCTTGATTTTTCAGAGAGGGCAGCTCTGGGAGTGTGGGACTAGAGACTGAGGATCCTCTGTAAGGAAACAGAAAAGTGAACATCAGCTGAGTGCAGACACAGTGGTGAGCATCTCAGACATTCTCCTCCATTCAGTCATCTCCCGTACAGAGGAAAGTCCAGAGACCAAGATGCTAGCCCAAGGTCCTGTACCAAACAATGGAAGCACTGGGATCCAGCCCCAGGTCTGTGTAACTCTTCCTAGTAAGTCAGGTTGGAGTTTTGTATGTTCCGAGTGTCAAGTCACCTGCCCTGTGTGTGTCTTGCTGCAGGAGACTCTGTGTTCATGAGAAACATAGAAATCCTCCCTCTTCCCCTCTCCTTTTCTCCATCATGGTCATGACCTGGGGGAATGTACCTATGAGTTCATTCCCAACATCCCCACCTACCGTGTCACTGTAGGCCATTTAGTCCCCAAGAGTGAAGAAATGAGATTTACCCACTCACTCTACCAGAAGTCCTAACATGAGCCCAGCCTTGGGGTCTGCAGAGCCTGCTACATGGTGTATGGCATTCTTGACAAGCAGTCATCACACCCAGGAGAGGCAGTGGGGCCACTTTGTCATCTGCCATCTCCTGGCTCTGTCGGCAACAGGGATGTTTATGAAGTGACTGAGCTCATGTAGGCATTGCCCCATGTTTTCCAAAGCTCATTGCTCCCTTTCGAGATCATGGTCTGAACTCTTGACCCTACCCAGCTCTTCCCAGATGTGTCACCCAAGTCACCAGGGGGTTCTGAGGGAGGGTGTGAGGGTGACTGGGTTTGGTTCACATCTCTTGTTGGGTAAACAACTCAGGTTCCATGCGCCTGAGGTTGAGTCACTTGCAGCCATCTCTGACCTGCAAAGGGCAGCATGTAGTCAATATTATTCCAGACACAGGCTCCCGCCCACACCGTCTCCATGCACCTGTGAGGGATCCTGGGATGGCTGGGAACCAGCATGTCCAAGTGGATACTGCATGACACAGACCACATGTAGTCATCCAGTATCCCTAAACTGCTTGGTTTTCTTGGAATGACCATCTTCAAACTGTGAATATGTGACACTAATTTTGTTTCATTTCTTTGCTCAACATGCTTATACAGTGTTTATGGAAAAAGCATCTTTTCTTTCTTGTTACTCATTTATTCAGTGGACATTTACTGAGTACCTGCAAGAGGGTTTGTGCCAGGGCCACAGCAAAGGGTGCACAAGGGGACAGGAAGCACAAGCTACTGTAGAATCCCGAACTCCCTAAAGAAAGCAACAAGGAAGCTTACCCTGGAGGGCAGTAGGAGCTCCTTAAGGCAAAAAGCCACCAGGAGAGCATGGGGCAGGGGGAGTGCAGCATGCCAGAGGCAAGCAGGAGTGATCTTCAGGCAGATGGGGAGGGATAAGGCTGTAGAGTAAAGCAGGACTTTGCTTGCTATGTCAAGGAGTTTGGGTGGCCCCCAGGAACATTGGGAAGGCAGTTGGGGATTCTCAGCAAGAGAGAGGCAAGACCAGCTCTGTGTGTTGTGTGGGTGGGCGTCCAGGCAGAGGAGGACTAGAGGCTGGCAGGCTGGCAGGCTGGCAGTGACTGGTGAAAGAAGCTGATGGGCTTGGGCAAAGGTCATAGCAATAAAGGCAAAGACACGAGGACAATTCCAAAAGAATATTTCATTCGATTGACATAAGTAATCAGTCCAACAGGCTGGCTTGGGCAATGGGGGACCGGTGGCACCATTTCCTGAAGGAGGAACTTGGGTGTAGGAGCAGGTCAGGGCTCAGGGTACATCATTAGGTTGGACACACTGAGTCCTGGGGACTGTGTGACTTCTAACCAAAATTATTGGTGAGTTAATGTTCCAGAAATGGACACATCACTCTATTCTTTTCTGAAGCAGGTAATATTGATACCTACTGTATGCCATTGTTTTAGACACTGACCAAAGAAGGTGTCATTCAAGCAGCCAGGGGTAGCCTCAAATACTGCGGTGGTAAGGCCTGCCCATGCAGTGGAAGCAGGAGTCTGTTTTGGTTTTTTGGGGTTTTTTTGAGCAGTGAGGGGGGCTGGTAATACTGGGATTTGAAGTCTGAACTCAGAGCTTCACGGTTACTAGGCAGGCGCTCTACCACTCGAGCCACTCCACCAGCCCAGGAATCAGTGTTTTGGGCCAGCTGTGAGACAGCTTGCACCAACAGTGACCTGAGGAAACTCTCCCAAAAGGAGGAATGTGATAAGGTGACTGAGGGATGTTTAGGGTCACGTAGACTAGAATGTCACATGCTACCTTTAAAGAAAAATGTCATTATTAACTCCCCAATTTTTCTGTTTGTATTTTTCCTCAAGGTTAAGCGTGTCAAAAATTCAGCAATTTTTCTCTGAGAATTTCAAGAACAAGGCTACCCAAAGTGGGGAGGCAGGTGAGTTTTTGTCACTGGTGAATCTAATCAGAATTCTGTTGGTTTCAGGGGCCCCTTGCAGCCTTCATAGCAGGAAGCCAGTCTCTGGCCAAATCACTAATATGTGAATTGTAATTCTTGTCCACTGCACAATGTCTAACATGTTAACTGGTGTGCCCATTAATATTTACCAAAGGCCTGGTGCGTGAAACCAAGCTTAGCACACACATTTTCATATGATGACCACAGTAAAGGCAAATGCACTAATGTCAATAAATGGCCTTTGCATCAGAAGACTAAACAGAACCCCAAGCACAGAGCAGCTGTTCTTTGTCACTTTAGGCTTTAGTCAGTCACGATTCGGACATTCACATCTGCACTTGTCCAAGAGGACTCTTCTGAGATTGAACGGAGGGTCAGAATTGGACTGTCCAGCTAGAAATATGGTCATTGAGATCCATGAGAGCCTGCACAGGTCAACTCTTTTCTCCTCTTCTTTCTTTTTTGTGGGGCTGAACCCAGGGCCTTGTACATGCTACGTATATGCACTACCATTGAGCTAAGTCAGTGTCGGTTCTTTAAAGGAGCCTTTTGGGATAAACGTGACCCCGTGGAATGGCTGGCAGAGATTAGAGCCAGCCTCCTTTACAAGGACAGGTTAATAAATTTCTTCTCACCTCTCAACTGTGATGGGGGGGGGGCAGTCTGAGGCCATCTTCTGTCTGGAAGAAAGAGCTCTGGGATGGACTAACCATGTCTGCCATTGGCCATCCTCACCATGGAAACTAATGTACAGAAAGGGAGTGTACTTGATCTGGAATTCCGCTCCTGCCTGTCGGCACCCAACTCACTTGGGAGTTTTTCTAAATCAGCATAACCAGATCAACTCAGGTGATCCAAGATTTAAGATGTGAACCCTGGCACCAAACATTATCATAAAGTTTGTGAATAAAAGTAACATAACAGGAAGAGAAAACAGATGCCCACAGACACACAGTCAAACTAATAGGCAAGCCAAGAAATAACTAGATGGGGCTAGTGGCCTTTCCGGTTTTGTCTGATCCTGCAAGTTAGGGTTTTAAGAGATTGTTCCTGGCACCAGCTCTTGCCCTGCCTTTGTACTAACATAGGAGTTGTGCCATGTTGTCTTCTCACCCACATCTCTCATGCCTTGCCTGGCTTGACATTCTAGAATCTACCTACCCTCCAATCAAAGTCTCTTCTTTTTTAAACCATCTCTGCTGTTCACAGGCTATCCTCTCCCACATAAAGCCTATGGTTTGCAAAGGGCCTTCTTCACATAGTCATCCTACGTCATACTTACTGATGAAATAATAGACAAGAAAGTCTATTATTTCCTAGAGAAAAGAGGGACTTTGAGACCCTGCCCTCTCTGATGGATCTTTCACTGTGCTGTCCTTTGCTGCTGCCATCTATATGGGGAACAGCTAGGAATCGCCATTCCAACAGGGAGCCAGGAATGATTTTGTTCCCCAGGAGACATTTGGCCAGGGCTGAAGACATTCTTGGTTGTCATAGCTGGAGAAGGGGGTGTCTCTGCCATTCAGTAAGTAGAAGCCCAGGATGCTGCTAAATATCTGCTATGTACAGGACAGGACTGTCCCCATCACAGAGAATCATCTGGCCCAAAATATCAATAGTGCCAAGGCTGAGACGCATGGTAATAGAGGAAGGCAAGATGCAGTCCCCCAAAGAGTATTCCTGAAAGTTTCCTTTGAAACTTTTGCGGCGTCCCCAAGTTGGAGGGCGGCCATGTGCCTCTGAGGTCCTACAGCTTTGTCAACAGCTCTGTGGGATATTGATCATCTGTCCCTCAAAGCCAACAAACTGCTTGAGGCCCACACAATCACTGAGGCCTAGAGAAGCCTCAGTCTTTGTCTGCTTAATAACTACGATTGACTGAAGGAATATGGGGAAAAGTGTATTTATCTTTGTGTAGGGATGTTACTGAACCATTGGTCACCATCATTTTCTCTCCACAGATGTGATTCTCGAATGCCTAGGCTTCAAATGGGAACTCCATCAGCCCCAGCTTTTCCAGTCTGAAACCTTGGCCAAGCTTTACTTGGCAGCCTTGATGCAAAGAACTCAGAGTCCCACGAGAGAACTGGGTAAGACTGTGCAAGGTAATTTCCCACTGGGCTAGAACTGGAGCCCCAAAGGCCCTCTGCTTTCAGAGAGCCCAGCTTGACATGTGGTTATCTGTTTTGAGACCATGGTTATTCACTCTGCTTGTTATGAGCAAGGCTCCTTGGTATGAACTCATCATCTATTATCCTCTGTCTCCTCAGCTGCAAAGTGGGGATAATTGTCCTTATCATGTGGTAATGGTGTGGGTTGTAGAACAATGGTTGGCATACAGTGAGGACTCAGTTATCCTGGCAATACCCCAATCTTGTCTTGAGTTATGAGTTATGAGAAAATGGGTTGCATTGAGTCTTCTGAAGAGCTTTCTGGAAAAAAGGCACAGTTCTAAAATCTGTGACTTGTTTGCCTTAAGTATGCTAAGTAGAGGGTTACAAATGTATATCTACTTTTTTTTTTTCCATTCCTTCCCATCCTTTTCCAAAAGAATTCAGTTCCCTTCCTTCCTTCCTTCCTTCCTTCCTTTTCTTTTTAAATCCTAACCACCCTCAGCTTCCTCTTACCTATTTCCTGTGTCTTCTTCAACTATACTGTCAACTTCTCCTTTGGACAACAGCTTAGCCCCACCTCAGGTAGACCTGTAGGCTGGTGCTATGGAGAAATCATGGTCCCTGATGCCAGCCAGGGATTGCATTCCAGGATGTGGGAAGCAAAGCCCTGTTACTGTAAAGCCATACGGGCAGCCAGAACCCCCAGTTACTGCCCATTCCTGAGCCTGGAGAACACCCTGCAGCCTGCTGGGATCCGTAGGGTCACAAAGCCTCTGACTCAGCCCTCCATGCAGAGCTGGCAGTGGGAGCCGCTGTGGCTTTCCCACAGAGCCCTAGCAACTGGGCTCCTGTTTGTGGTCCCTTTGCCCCTCCTAAGTGAGTGGATTGGACTCTTCTGTCTTCCCTGTGCCCAGGTCAGGGCACTCACCAGGCCATCCGTGGAAGGCTCTGGTGCCTTAGAAGTGAGTACATGGAAAGCAAGAATCTGAAAGAGGATGGGAGGACACTGTTAACATTAAGACCTTTGACGGTTCTAGAAAGGTGTCACTGAGAAACGAGTTGGCCATGCTAAGGCAGCCACTCTGATCCAAGCCTCCCAGCTAGAGGTTCTGTAGCTGGAGGTGTCAGGGAAGGTACAGTGCTCTTGACTGTCAGGACTCCCTACCACCTCAATCACCATGAGCTAATCAGGCCCCAGGATTTGTGTCTCCAGGACTTCCATGGGAACAGTCATGGTTCTTCCTGTACAGAGCATATCTCCCAAGGATGTTTGTACAGTGATTTCACAACTATGGCTTTTATGCCCCTGGGACCATCTGTGTGAGGTCCTGGAGGCAGAGCGGAGGAGTTTTCTGGAAAAACACTGGGAAGGTAGTAGAGATGAACAGATTCCCGCCACCACTTGGCTTCTTCCCAGCAAATTCTCTGGTACAGCTGTACCTGAGCAGGACCACGGTTTCAGAGAACCTCAGAGGTATAAGAGCAAATGTTTACTGTCTTATACAATTTGGAGTTTCACTTAACCTGAGGGAAGATTGAGCTTCTGTCTTGTATTTACTGCGGCCCAGTCAGCACTGTCCCTTCCTTTCTTCCACAAACATTGAGTGCTTATGCCAGGAGTTGTGCTAGAACTTGCCATGGAAGGGGGAGGGTGCAGGGAGCACAGAGAAATAAGTCCAAAATTATGACAAAGTAAGATAAATAGCATGGTAATAATATTAACCAGAACCTTCTGCATGCTTACTGTGTGTCTGGCCCTGGTGGGCATGATCTCTTTTACTTCCTGTGATGGGGGGAGGTGAATGGTTGACAGCAGGGCGGCGCAGACAAGAGTCCATGTAGTAATGCCCAAGAGAAATGTAGCAATGTTCAAACCTGGGGACAAGGCCTGAAACTGAGTAGTTGCTCAATAAATATTTGCTGAATGAGGGCTTAAACATAGCCAAGCATCAGAAGACAGTGAAGGGGATGCTGAAAAGGGACTTTGTTAGCTCTTTTTCTGCAGTATGACACACTTTTTGGTTCCCAGCTTGTACTATTTTTTATCACCTGGAACCTTGAGACCACTGGGGATGGAATCTATTCATTTCATGAATTCAGCAGATTTTACTACATAGCCGGTGGATCCTTGGGACAGAGTGACCAGTAAACCATCAATGTGCCTGCCCAATACAGAACAGCCCTACAGACTTGGGGTGCAATAGCAGGTTGTGGTGAGGTTGGTCTTAGGTATAGGTTAGGAGGGTGGTGATGTCCTTCAGTGGGGTCAGGAAAGGCCTCCCAGGGAAGGGGACATGTGAGGAGGCCCCAGTGAAGGAGAGGAAGGGAGGGAGTCCCACACTGTCCTGGGAATCAGCTCAGAGGAGGTAAGTTTGGAGAGGAGGAGCAGAGCAGTGGGAGGAGGTTGCACCACATGGAGGTCTTGGGACCATGGATGGAGCTTTGGTTTATGGGCTAACGGTGTGAGATTTTACTGGAGACCAAAGAGCCACATTTTAGACCAATTCCAAGTGGGTGGTACTGGCTAGCAACGGATTGGGATGTCACATTCCTTATCCTGAAAGTCCTTGGTAGCAGAGCTCTGAAGTCTGGACACCTATGGGGAAAAGTGTCAAGAGGCACTGGGTGGACATCTCAGTCCCACATGCATCCTCCAGCAGATGGTCACTCAGTTCCCACTGATGCCTGCCCTGCTCTTGGTGCTTGGATGCAGAAACACTGCAGGGGCCCACTCAGCCCAACTGCTCCCAGCCTAATTAGACAAAGGCCTGAGATTGACGGAGGGAGGGAGAGACAGGAAAGGGGGATGTGTGACAGTAATAAATATTTAAAATGCAGCACAAGCATCTATTTACCGGTTTTGACAATCCATAATAGCTACGTAAGTTATGATCAGTAGGGGAAGCTGGGCAAGGGAAACCAAGAGCTCTTTGCACCATTTTTGCAACTTGTGAGTCTTGAACTCTTTCCAAATAAGTTGTTATCGTAAACACGCACCCACTAAATAGCAAGCCAAATACAGAGTGATGCAGGTCAAGATCCAGTCTGTGAGGTGGGTGGTGAGGAGCTGCCTACTGTAGCTTCACAGTGGCAAACTGTTATCTGATTTTCTTCACTAGATCACTCACCTGGGAAGATCAAAGAAAGGCCCTCTGTAAAGAAGATAATTATTTCCTTGAAGGTCAATGATCCAGCAGTCAGCAGAGTTGGTAATGTACACTCACCTTCACTGAACGGATTCAAAAACAAATGCAAACAAAACACAGCAATCAAGTGGTACATATTCCTGATCAAAAATGCTGAAGGGCTGGGCGTCACAGTGCACGCCTGTCATCCTAGTTACACAGTAAACAAATAGGAGGACCTGTGCTGGTGAAAACTGGAGACTCTTTCTCCATAACAATCAAAGCAAACAGGGCTGGGGCATGACTCAGCCTGCCTAGCAAGCATGAGGCCCTAAGTTCAACCCCCAATACCTCCAAAAAAACCCCAAAAAAACACTGAAGAGTGTAAAGAAAGAAGGGACAAGGAGGCTAGGACACTTAAGAAGTAGAAGGAGGAGATGCTGCCACTGTGAAGGGGCAAGAAGGACACAGGAAGGGCAGGAAGAAGTGGACTTCTCAGACAGACCCAGGGAAAAGGAGTTGCCTTCCCCAGGCTTACACCTGCCCAGAGATCCCCTCACCCCCTCTCTTGCTCCCAAGAAGCACTTGATCTTCTTCTCCCTCTACCAATCCCCGCAGTCTCCCTCTGCCTTCCAGGGGCAGAAGGCACTCCTAGGATGCTCTCTTGAGTTCACCCAGCACCCTATACCTCTCGGCCACAGATTTCTGTATTAATGTGACATGATTAATGTCATGTGGTGAATGACACAGCTCTGTGAATTGCTAGGTCAGTGACTAATGACAGTTCTAACTGGTGCGGAGAACACTGTAACAGGCATGGTGGCACTGTCTAGGACTGTGTGGGACTTGGAATAGGCCAAGCAGTCTACTTCTTGGCTGGCTGTTTCCAGGTGACTTTGACCTTTACTGAAGCCCCCAGACTCCAAGGAAAATCCACTGTAAACTATATGTCATCTCCAAAGGAAACACGATAGACCTACACACAGCATCCTACACAAGTTCAGGCAGTCACATTCCTACACAGGCCAAGGACCCCAGGTTAGGAGAGACCCCCTGAGCTGTCTCAGCCCTAAGATGGCCCAAGGCACAGACACTGAGGATAGGCTCAAAAGAAGATCCTTTCAGCAGGGTTCACCTTTCTTTGGCTTCATCTTCAGCTCCTCTGGGAAGTGAGAGTTAAGGTGGTCACTTGCAGGAACAGAAAAGCCATAGTGTGGTATCCTTAGGCAAAGCTCTGTGCTGATGGCTTTCCCCTGGCTGTTGTCCCCAGCATTTGCCCTGGCCCTGAAGAACCTCTACATGAATGAGGTGGAAGTGAAAGTGGACGACATGCTAGGGGTGCTGGCTTCCGCTCACATCCTCCAGTTCAGCCACCTGTTTCAAAGGTAAGGAGACGGGAGGGACTGGGGTCAGCCCATGCATGGCATGGGTCCTTTCTGGTCCATTCCATGGAATGTTCCTCTTCCCTGGGCAAAGACACCATAGGTTTCTTTGTACCAAGCATGACTTTTTTGGCAGTACCAGGAGTTGAACTCAGGACCTTGCCCTTGCTAGGCAGGTGCTCCACCACTTGAGCCATGCCTCCAGCCTTTCTTTTGTTGGTTATTTTTGAGATAGGGTCTTGCTTTTTGCCTGGGTGGGCCTGCCTGAATTATGATCCTCCTATATGTGCTTCCTTGCATAGCTGAGGATGACAGTTGTACACTACCATGATCAGCAGTTTTTTGTTGAGATGGGGTCTCACTAACTTTTTCCCAGGCTGACCTTGAATTGTGATCCTTCCAATCTCTGCCTCCTGAGTAGCTAGGATTACAGGCGTGAGTCACAACATCTGGCTCCAAGCATGACCTTGAACCTAGAAAGGAACAAGACACTAATCCACATTAATGTCATTATGAGCTTCTGACAGCTCTGTCTCCAGAACCAGCAGCAGCTCATACTAGTTAGGGAAGAAATGCAAATGATGGGTGGCGGGCTTTCTACCACTGGGGGAGACTTTGCAATTGTGCAAAGTGACTTCCCAGGAGCCCTCCAACCACACTTGCTTACCAAGTTCATTTTTGGGTAAAGAATTCTCTCTCCAGTGAGTGCACCCACACATATACTGGCCACTGGAGTATAAGCTGGCTTTCCATCATTTTCAGGCCTCAGTTTTTCAGCTCATTTCAGATACGGCCTTGTTTTTCTTGTAAATAATATTTTTATTATTATGAATGTGATTCACATCATTGTAAATCTTTTGGAAGAGAGAAAAATGAATGCAAATATTAAATCACAGATGCTTATCCATTCCACTTTGAGGCATAGACTTTCAGCTGGACATTGAGAGCCTGCTCTGCCTCATGTGGCATCTAGTGGGGGGACCTGTGGCATGGGGACCAGAAGGCATTTGAAAGGATTCAATGCTAAAGATTCTGCATCCTGACAAGCCACCTGGACACCTAGAGCACAGAGGCACCTAGTGCTTGTGAACACTGAAAGTTTGAGGGAGTGACAGGCAACTCTCAGAGCTTCTGCCTACATCCAGGTAGCTATGGCAATGCAGCCTGGGGTGGAGTCAGAGACTCCCTGTTATCACTGAACTTTTCCGCAGAGACCAGAGCAACTACACATGTGCAATGCAGGGTCTGTGCTAAGCAGTGCAGTAAACTGCCCCTCCATTTCCACGTACCTCAGCAGTCTCCACCACAAAGTGTGGCTCATGGTGTTTGTCCTCAGTGCTTCCCAGAACTTTGCTGGTTGCTAGCGAATGTTTGTGCAAAGGGCTTTGAGTTAGAGCATTTGAAATGGGCAAGCACTCTTCTCAGCTCTTTGTAGGGACTGTCTCATTTTCTCTTCTTCACAGACCTGAGAGGGTGTGCTACAACTACACACATTTACTGATACAGAGACTGAGGCTCTGAGAGGTACATAACTTGCCTGAGGCCACACAGCATCCAAGTAGAGGAGCCAGGACCTGAAGGGAATCTGAGGGGCTCCAAAACCTGCACCACCACCTGCTTTGCTCAGGTGATGTGCTCGTGTTATCATTTGCTCATTTGGGGTCTTGATCTTCCCTGGACCCCTTTCTTCAATGGTCTTGACCAGGTGGGGTTTGCTTGTTCAATCAGACCCTCTTTTGTCCTTCAGTTCTCTCAAGAGTTATTTTTTGGGCTTCTCCAGGATGCCAATGAGACAGAGAGGAACAGATGGGCTAATGGCTGTCTGCAAAGGCCTCCTCCACAACAGTCCCCAAGACAGGAAATGAGTCAAGACAGGTGGAGTGGAGGGGAGGGACTCCCAAATGGAACATTTGTGCTGTGTATGATTAATTTCTAGTAAACCCGGTGCCTATGATAAGAAAAAGCTTTTCTTAGACTCCCCCCACCCACTTCTAAGAGTCCTGTAAATATTCCTTCATGTTTATGAAAGGCTGAGTGAGCCAAATGGACAATCCTTAGTGACGTTCATCTCTCTAGAGCATTTTGCTCCTTCTCCTGGGCTCCTTCAGGAATGTGTCCCTAACTGCACCAATGTTGTCCTGAAGACACCAGTGTGGTGTCTTGTGGCCTGTTGGTTTTCTAACTACCAACCTGATTCAGTATGGAGAGGAGATTTATGGCAGCCATCATTGGTCTGCTGGTTTTACCCACTCAAATCTCAGTTTCTTTATCTGAGTGAGCAAACCAATGAGCAAATGAATAAACACCCCACAGATGTCTCTAAGTCAGCACCTCATTCCAGGGACACCTGAGATGACCCAGGCCAGGCCAGGTTGGGGGTGTCTTGCATGGTGAGAGGGCGGCTTCCCTCATGAAGTGCAGCTCCAGTCCCCTTCTGTCTCTCAGCCTCCACTGCCCAGCCTCAAGCTCAGCTTGGCTGACCCTGGCTTATCCATGATGAACTGTGATGGAGTAGGCACTCTGTTCTCCTTCCTCCTTGCCTGCCTTGCGCTGCTTGCAGAGCAGAAATGGTACTGGTGGTAGTGAGCCAAACTTATTATCCTACTGATGAGCAAAGTGAGTTGCAGGCAGGAGGACCTGCCCAAGATTCTGCAGACACTTGTGGTAGAACTGGACACAGCACACAGCTGGGCTGAGTCTTACCTGTTTTTGAGAGGTTGGTGGTACAGTTGGCAGGAGTGAGTGTGCGTGCTTGTGTATGAGCAGAGCAGCAATGCTGAGGCCACCCTGATGCCACCATCATGGCAGGTGCTAGGTGAGAACTTAAAGGTCATCCATGCTGAGCTCCTAGTCAGTGCAAAATCACTCAGATGCTTGCAGTGGCCTGAATCATACATCTCTGAGACCTCCTGTCCTTATGGGATGCAGTGTCCATGTAAGTGCCACCAGGTGTTGTGGCTTTGGCTCTCACAGCAGTGAATGCACTGGCCCTTAGATGACTGCACATCTGGGATCACATCTGTTACAGGTATGATCCAGGGTGACTGGAGTTGAAGAGGAAAATGAGGCAGGAAGTCAGGAGGCTAGGATGAGTCCTAGGTGTGTGGGACCTTGGAGGCCACTTGAGCAGTTCCACTTGGTTCAGTCAGCAGAGGATGGAGCTTGAGGATTGGAGGGGAGGTGGCATGAGTCCCTGTGTGGTATAGATACTGTCTCTCAGCTGCAGTGTGAAGGGGCCATGGAGGCAGGGAGGCCTGCTGTTGGGAGGCTGTGACTAAGACCCAATCGAGAGATGTGGAGGGTCTGAATTAGGCAGGGGGAGGGGAGGGGTGGGCTCAAGAAACATGAAGATGAGAATTGTGGGTTCAGCTGTCTGAGGAGCCAACTGCCCAGGAGATGCTGCAGTGCCTGGAGTTCACTCAGCAAGCAGTTCCCCTGTATTCAAGACTCATCAAAGGAATAACTGTCTCACTATAGTAGTGAGACAATCCTGGAATCCAAGGGTGTAGGATGCTTAGCTATAACAAGTTATTTATTTATTCATTATTTCGTACCTTGTTCTAGAATAGGTTTTAAATGGCTTAAACCAATACTTAAAACAGCAGGACACCAAGTTTTTTTTTAAGGGAGAAAAAAAACAAGAATGGAGAAGCTAAAACTTGTATACTATAACAACCTACACTGGCTATAGGTGGGCCACACATCCCATTCTGACCCTCTTAGCAGCTAAAAGGAAAAAGAAAGCTTGATCAGTGACATGCGATAAAAATAAAAATCAGATAAAAATACTTAAAAACTCACCTAGGAGACACACAGAAAGTATTGATATTAAAACCACCAGTATTTGCTTCAGATGACCCCAAAACACACAGTAATCAATGTCATCGACAATAGATAGAGAAAGTGCACAGTAAATCTTATAATGTCATTCTTCACATTGGCAGAGGCTTTGTCCCCACACATGGCTCAGTGAAAGGTCTTCTCTAGGGTCTTACCTCCCTTAGCTCGGAGCTCTCTGTAACAGGTCTGCTGGTTTTGTCCTCAGGACCGGAGCGAGCTTTTTCTCTCTCCCTCATTACTACTGAACCTAACTGGGGCTAACTGAGGTGATGGGAGGTGCAGAAAGGACACAGGGTAGACAGAGACAGAAAGTTGGGGCCAGGTGTGTTGGGTGCTCAGACAGAGACACATAACAGCTCATTGCTTCTTATCTCTATTAATCTCTTCTCTTTACTTTGCTTCTTTTCTCTATCTTTATTCTTTAAGGCCTTACTCCTTTACAAGTCTTTAAAGACTCACTTCTAAAGTCTTCTTTTCTGTTCTTTAAAGTCTCTTTCCTTAGATTTGCTCTGTCCCATGTTTTCTCTTAGCTTTTCTTTAGCATAATCCCTCTTAAAGTCTTGGCCCCCAGACTTGCACTGTCCCATGTCCTCTCTTTAGCTTTCTTAAAGTCTCAGCCCTCAGACTTGCAGACAATCAACAGCAGCCAGCCGTTCCCTCGCAAGCTTCCAACCAATTCTATCAACCCCTCTTTAGCAATTCCCCTTCAGCAATTCTTTTCCCTTCAGCAAGCCTCCCTTCAACCAGTTATGTATTTCCCCCTTCAACAATCCTCCCTTCATCAATCCTCCCTTCCTCTAAAAGCCTCCCTTCATCAAAAAGCCTCCCTTCATCAAAAAAGCCTCCCTTCATCAAAAGCCTCTCATCCACCTTCAGCAAGTCTTTTATACCCAGTGGTAAACAAGGAGGTGGAGCAACAGTTCTCCAGGAGGGGCGTGACATTGTAACAACAGGAATCTGCCTTCCTGCCTCTCTGAATGTAAACAACTTAGGAAAAGCAGCTGAGCTGCATTCGCCTTCTCGCTGTCTTCTGTGGCTGGGGCTGTGCCAAATCTCAGCCTACAGATTATTTGACATAAACATCTTAGGAAAAGCAGCTGCTCTGCATCTTATTCTCACCCTATTATGTGGCTGAGGCTGTGCCAATCTCAGCCTGCAGAATATTGAGTACAGCTGTGCTTATGTCCTCATAGGCTTCTCCTACTCTGCTCTCCACACAGGACAAATGTCCCTACCCCTAAAACAAGGCTCTCTTCTTATGAGAGGTCTCCACTGCCATCCTGGACTTCACTGAAATCCTCTGGGGCCCCCACTTTTCTGACAGCAACCTGATCATTTCCCAGAATCAGCAGCTCTCTCTCTACAGGTGTGATAATGATGATGAATGGACTCACACCGAGCACCATCAAGAACTTCTACCTGGCTGGCTGCAAGGTGAGAACACCTGGAGGGGCCTGTGACCCTGAGGCACGGGGGCTTCAAGGGAGTCTAGACTTTGGGATTTCACCCACCAGACCCAGCTCCAAAAAAATCTATTCAAGGGCCAGAGATGTAGCTCAGTGATAGAGTGCTTGCTTGCCTAGCATGCAAGAGGCCCTGGGTTCAATTCCAAGAACCACCAAAATAAAACACAAGAACAAAAAATCTATTCAAAGTCTCCAATTTAAGGGTAGTAATATTTTATTTTGCTAAGTGAGCACATCTGCTTTTTTACATATATTTTTGAAAAGATGCTTTAGCAGCAAAAGTGTAGAATGGCCTTAGTCTTGGGAATTGAAGGGGCAGGGTGAACAGCACAGGCTTTCTCACCAAAACAGCAAAACCTTCCAGGAGTCTTCTTAGAATTAGGACATCTTGTCCCACCCCTTGCCCCCACCCCACCAGAGTAGATGTTAGGAACAAATCCAGCTGTCATTATCAGAGGAGAAAATGGGAACTCAATAAAGGGAGCAAACTGCCCAGGGTGACCAGCAGCCAAGGGACAGTGCTGGGTCCCAGCCTCAGGCCTCCTGATTCCAGCCTCCCTGCAGCCACATTTACCATGAGACAGACTTGTTTCAGGGTAACTTTCGATTCACCCAAGCCAGCACATCACAGTGCTCTTAAAACTTCATCTAAGAATGTTCTGGATACCTATTTGCCAAAGAACCATGTGGTCCTCACCTTTACTCCACGGTGTTCGAAAGTCACTCTTGGAGACATCTTTGCATTCTGGCTGGCATTTCTTAGCAAGTCTTTGGTCCCAAAAGAATCCCAGGCTATGAGGTACACTAAGACCCTCTCAAGATCCCTGACTCCAGAGAGCTTTCCCCATTTCCCCTGTTCTTGAATTTTTACTTCTAAAGTGTGTCACAGAGCTCGGCATGGGTCGCCCTCCCAGGCCTCCTGTGATCAGTCACTGACCTCAGCCCAGACATCTCAGCAGGCAGGGCCCATGGTCAGGCCACCTGAGTTTGCTTCTAGCTCAGCCTCACTGGTGTGTGACCACAGAAAGAGCAGAAACCTTGGAGCCTCAACTTCTCTTCCATTGGTAAAACAGGAATAATTAGCAACTCCCCTTACGGGATTGCAGTGAGGACAGGTTCAAATCCACTGAATGCTCTGATTATCCTAAACATCCCCTGCTTAATTTGGCCCATCTGCAGCATGACTGTGTGTGTGTGTGTGTGTGTGTGTGTGTGTGTGTGTGTGTGTGTGTGTGTGTGTAGAGCATCACTGCCAGCCAGCAGAGGGCGCTGAGAGCCTTGCTTTTGTCTCGTCAGTACAAGGAAGAGCAGCTTACCACTGCCTGTGAGAAGTGGCTGGAAATGAACTTGGTCCCTCTGATGGGGACGCAGATCCACCTCCGGCAAATCCCTCAGGATCTGCTCCACAAGGTGCTGAGGTCCCCCAGGTCAGAGCTGGTTCCCCAGGTGCTGACCCCAGGGTGGCCATGGGAGGAAGCAGGGAGGTGGTTCATAATGGGAGATACTCCTCTCATGGTCTTGGGGGTGTCACCCTTGACTCCAGAATTCCTGCTATCCTGGTCAGCCAGGCCTCAGGTAGGAGCAATACTCAGGATGCTGTGTGTGGGTCTGGGGAGGGGAGAGACCCCTTCGTGATCTTTTTAGGTAGGGGCCTTCTGGAGGCCAACTGTCTCATCATCTACCTGGGTGAGAAAAGTGAGACTGTTGCCCAAGTAATTTAAAAAAGAATCCTGGACAATTTGGAAAAGAGGGAGAGGCAGAAAAAAGACAATGAAACCTCTCACCCTAAACCAGTTTGTATTTGCAGCCATGACTCTTCTGTGAATAATTCTAAGCCAGGTGGACAACCTGTACCTCTCTGATAATTAAGGCAAAAACCTGACTCTCAGTGCTCCCTGCTCTTGACTGCACCCCAAGTGTTCTAGACCATTGACAGGCTGCTCAAGCTAGAACCTTGAGAGTCTTCTGGACACCACATTGGCCTCACCTTGACCAGGAGGCCAATTCTGTTTCCAAACTGATCTCATGCCTATGAGCCTTTCGCCCTGGGCACCCACCTCCAAACTTCTGTGTCTCTGTGTCCCTCTACCTTGGTGTCTTACTTCTGGTCTGGACCCCTTTCAGTCGTGGCTAGCTCCTTTATGTCAGGCACCATGCAGTAGCCACAGGGACCTTCCTCAGTTCCCTTGGTAAGCTTTCCCCAAGTAGGCCTTTGTATGTGCAGGTCCTCCTGCCTGAAACACCAGTCCCTGCAGGCTCCATCTCCTCCTCCCTTCAAATAGTTCACAGAACCATTTCCTATGCTTGACTTCTAGCTTATTTCCAGAGTTTTACTACTACAAATGGCTCCTCAATGAATATGCTTCAGTGTACATCATTCATCTTTATCTCTTGGCATTGAAATTTCTAGAAGAGAAATTACTAAATCCAAAGGACTTTCCATGTTCTTTTGGGGCAGTACTGGGGTTTAAACTCAGGTCTTTGTGCTAGCTAGGCAGTTGTTCTACCACTTGAGTCACATCTAGCCCCCTCTGTTTGTTTTTATTACTCTTCTTTTTTTTTTTTGGTGTTTTGAGACAGTGTCTCACTATTTTATAGTCTAGGCTAGTCTTAAACTCATGCTCCTCCCTAGTGGAGGTCCTACTGGATTACAGGCATGTGCCACCTACCCAACTCTGTTTTTATTAGTCTTTCAAAAAAATTTTTATTTGAAAATAATTTCAAACTTAAAGAAATACAAGAACAGTACAAACAGTATCTGTACAGATGCTCTTTGCTAGGCATGCACTCCAGTACTTGAGCTATTCTGCCAGTCCAACACATGTTCTTTGACTTACATCCCAACAAAACCATCTCAAGTTGAAAAGACCCTAAGTTGAAAATTCACAGAACACACCTAACCACCTGAACTGCACATCACAGCCTAGCAACCCAACACACCATAGGGTGCAGTTGTCCATCCTTGTGGTCATGTGGTTGACTGGGAGCTGCCCATTATCACAAGGAAGGACGGAACATACTAAACTGGGAAAAGGTCAAGATTCAAAATTCCAACTTTGCTTTCTACTGTTGGGTAGAACTTTTGCTCTATCACCAAGTTGAAAAACCATAAATCCAATCATCATAAATTGGGGACCATTTGTATACCCCGAGTCACCCTAATCCCCAATTCCTGTCCTGTTTGCTTTATCATTTACATCTATATGTGTGCTACACATACATGTACTTTTCCTGAATTATTTGGGGGTGAGTTGCATGACATAATACTCTTTTATACCAAATGTTTCAAAAATTATTTCCTAAGAAAAGCAATTTGTCTAATATAAACACAGGGCAGTTATCAACTTCACTAGGATACTTTGGTATTTTGACCCAACACTGCACTCACTAGCATTTTTTCCCCTCTAGCACAGGATTGTTTAATTTAGGATGACATATTATATTTAGTTTTATTTAGTTGAGACTATTATTTAAATAATTCTTGGCACCCATTGTCAAGGATTTCCAAGATTGTGTTCCCCTTGGGTGAATTTCAAAAGTAGATAAATTCTATTAAAAGTCTTAGTGGTTTACTAGAAAATAAGTGTTTGTTCGTGTTACTGTAGCAGTAAGTGTCCTGTTTCAGAAATTAGATTTAAAAAGATTTCTCCTAGATAAATAAATACCCTATTCTATGGATTTGGAATTACTGAGTGGTATGCATATCCTCACATTTACAGAGATGTGAGGTTGGCAAGACAGAGTCCTGGAGTTGAGGTGGAGATGAGAGATGCCTCAGAGGACTGTCCAGCTCCCATGTGCACATTATCTAATCTGAGCTCATAACAGCGTGGGGCACTGGGCTCTGGTCCCCTCTGCTTTCTCACTCATGTACCCCCACCCTCTGCCCCAGCCTCCAAAAGAGCAAAAGTCATGCAATTGAAGATAAACATGGCGTCCCTCCCTTGGAAAGGCTGAGCTGTCCCACCCTGCTAGCATTTAACCAAAAAAAAAAAAAGATGAAAAAACGTCTGACCACAACCAGAAAACTGGTGATGGCACAGTTCTGACAAATGCTTACTGGGCAGGAAAAGAGGTCAAAAGCATTACATGTCAGATGTCTAGACTCCAGTCTGGCAAATGTGACTGAGGTGGAAACTGGGTCCTGCCCCTCTGGCCCTGTGCAGGAGGTATCTGTACACACAGACCAGGCTATCCTGCTTGAGGATGGAAGAGCCTGTGTGGCTTGAGGCATGCCCTCAGTCCACATGCCCTGGAGTGGGCAGGGTGTGTGTGACTGGGGCCCACAGCACCTCAAATGGTCACGTTATCCAAGGATGACCTGCAGTAGCCACCTGCTTTACAGCTTGTGGGAGGTGGAAGGCAGAGTGTGTAAGAAGGGTGATGATAGGAATTAACCAGCCTTGGGGTCCTTGTCTTTGGGTCCTTGCTGAGGTCCAGGCTTCTGGCTGGTGAACTTGGCACCATGGCCCCCATGTAATATAAATGAAACATTCCTCCAGCTAACTGTGAAAGGATCAGTTTTTGGTGTGTGCAGTACGAAGTGGAATGTCCCTTTCAGTCTGTACAACTCCACACTGTTGGCACGGTTAGTTATTCTCCCTGAGATAAGATGGCTAAGGAAGGGCCAGGTAGGGCCTCCACTGGCTTCGGAGTCCCCATCCTTCCCTGAATGCTGCATCCTTCTTTTTCGTCATGGAAGCTGAGGTTTCCTGGCACCTGGGAAGAACTCATGGAAGACTTGGTGTCCTGAGAAATCTCATGGCCCCAGAGTGGGCAGTGTGGAAATGCCAAACCCCAAGGTCAGGATGGCTCATCCCTTAGCCCCACTTGACTGACTCACCAGCCACCATTGTCACCTGACTCCCAGCTTGTGGCTGCAGGTGTTTGGAACAACACCCTCCCTTAGCATATGCTTCAACTTCTGGACCACTCAGCCTTTCCCGTCCAAAGGCCTTTGACGTCATCTTTTTCTGGAATTTGCTTTCCATTTTAATGAACAACTTGGGGCAAGACATACACAAATACACGGTTTTCCTGACCTCTGGGACCTCTGTTTCTAATTTATTTGCCTAGCTATTTGGTTTTCAGTTAAATTTTTCCTCAGAGGTCACCACCAGGTTCACCTGTTCTCATTACTCTAATTTATGAAAACTTCATTCCAAGTTCTGTTTTCCTGGAAGCCACCTCCTGGGGACTGGGGAGGAGGAGACCTCAGGGGACCATCTAGTTCCTCTCTCCACAGGCCTGTCTTGCCAAGGGGGCCTGTGTCCTTCTTTTCAATTCTCCCGACTTCCTGTCCATGAGCCAAGTATCTGCTCTCAAGAATCCGTAAGAAAATGCACCTCTGTGGTCCTTGTCACGCCTGTCCCAAGCTTTCCCTGCAGGGTGTGACGGTGAGCTGTCCCCACTGTCCTTCCAGAACAGCAGTAGGCTCCAATAGTTCTGAAAGCTAATGCTCTCTGGTGAACAGTAATAATGCTTACCAGTTACTGAGCACTTGTTGTTGAGTGGGCTATCCAGACTTATTTATTGCCATAGCAACCCAGTGGGGTAGGGGCTGTCACCTGCACTTTTCACCTGTTGAAAGGGAGAGTGCGTATAGCTATCCTTATCTCAACCAGCAAAAACCCTTGGTCCTTCCTAATATAACTTATACTCTCTCTTCAACAAAACTAGAGATAAGGGCAAAATAGTTTCTGCCTGGTATCGAGGGGGTCGGGGGCAGAGGGAAGTGGAAGGGTAGGTAACGGAGGGGGTGGGGGAAGGGAGGAGAAATGACCCAAACATTGTGTGCACATATGAATAAAAGAAAAAATTTAAAAAGGAAAAAAAAATAATAAAGGGAGACTGCAGGAAATTAAAAGATTAGCTAACCTCACTCCACATGCAACAGGAAGCTGGGATTTGAAGCTAGGTCAGAGTGGCCTTCATGTTGTGGTCATTACAGCCTGCTCTTTCCTTATCAATGGTCACAATCAATCAATATATTGATCTTAGTGTTTTTTCTTGTAAAAATTTTATAAAGGTAGGGAGGATTATGCAAAACACAAATGTATTCACCTCCCCAAATGAACAAATAGTAGCTTTTTGTCAAAAATTAAGAAATTAAACATTACCAATGAAGCAGGTCACCTCTAGTCCCCTCCCCAGTCCTATTCCCTTCCTAAAGACTACAGAACCATAGTCAGGAACTTGCGTGGAGCTGACCTGCGTGACTAAGTGCTCACTGCAGTCGTGTGCATCCATGAACAGTGCGTAATGTTGTCTTGTAAGGGTTTAACCTGCAGATCAATCAACTCACAGAGATGAGAATTCTATGACTTAGTCACTAAGACCATGCCTCCTGTTCTCACCCTGTTCATGCTGATGTAATTAATTAGCATTTAAAATTTTAATTGTTGTGCACAGCTCTACAGAACGAAAACACAGCAATGTCTTTTCATTCCTTTCCTAAAGGCCTTTTGATTTCTGATATGGTGGTCAATGTTGCAATGGCTGTCCCTTCTATGGTCTATAATCAGAAAGGAGGCTCATTGTTCATATGCCATTTTCATTAAAAATAAAAAGTCATTGCTTGTGAAAAGCATTCATTTTCTCCTAAAGAACAAACCTCAATTACATTGCAGGGGCCGTAGTAAGCACCAGTAAACACGCACAACACAGCATTCTGTCCCAGTGACTGTTGGCAGTCACTATGAGGTCTGTCTTCTCTTGATGGAGGCCATCAGAGCGCTTAGGTGAATGTCCTGGCATGGTTATTTGCTGCAGAAACTGATACTTTTGGAGACTGTCACTGGTTTAAAGGTAGATCACTTTCCTTCAATAATTGTCTGCATAAACAAAACCAGGGTCTGAGCCATGGAGCCCAGTGGCTTTGCCTGTGGGCATTAGCCCCTCCTCTGTACAATCTCCAAGAAACTGAAGGAAGTCAAGTGTGGACCTTAAGCGTGGAGTCTATTCTCGAAGTCACACAGTTTCCTCTACCCAAGTGACAAGTTCTTTTGTGGGAACATCGTATCCAGTGGCTCTGCGTAATGTCTCTCTGTCCTGCCTTAATTTTGTGGCCTAGACAGTGACCAACTCGGTCCCATCAAGCCAGCTCAAACCCCATGCATCTGCAGGTAGCCTGAAAACCAAATAAGAAGAATGAAACAGTTCTACTCTGTCCAAAAATAGTGTGAGAGGTGAGCAGGTGACGTTACCATTGTACTTTAGAGTAACACTTAACTTGGGTTCCACCCACAATGACCCCTTACAGTGGTGAACAAAGAGGCTGTGACATATTTTATAGCCAAGGTGCCTCATCCATGGTGAGAGACTAAAAATATCAATGGGTTTAAGAAGCTCCGTAGACAATCAAGTCAGTAGAGGCTGCTGGAGAAACTGTCCTTGCTTTACAGAGCTGACCTCATGAAGCAGCTGACATCATAGGTTGTTGAGGAGAGGCCACAGTGTGGGTTCTGGAGCAGGTCCCAGCCTTGCCATTTTGAGTGAGAGCAGCCATTAGTGTGTTCTGATGTGCCAGGAACTGGGCTAAGCATTCTGTTTGTGCGTGGTCAGCAGAATAATGGCCCCAAGGATATCCACAACCTAATCTCTAGAACCTGTGAATATGTGAGACTTTATGGCAAAGGGGAATTAAAGTTTCAGGTGGAATGAAGGTGGCTAACTAGCTGACTTCAAAATGGGAGTTTACCCTAGATTGTCTGGGTGAACTCAGCATAATCACGTGGATCCTTTTTATTTTTATATTTTGGTGGGATTGGTTTTGAACTCAGGGTTTCATGCTTGCAAAGCAGGCACTCTACCATTTGAGCCACACCTGCAGTCCATTTTTGCTCTGGTTATTTTGGAGATGGGGTTTCTCAAATTATTTACTGGGGTCGGCCTTGAACCATGATTCTCTCAATCTCAGCCTCCCAAGTAGCTAAGAGTAGAGGTTTGAGCATTGGCACCCTGACACAAGGGTCCCTTAAATGTGCAGAGGGAAACAAAAGAGTCACAGCCAGAGGGAGAATAGACTGGAAGAGGCTGTGCTGCTGGCTCAAAGCTCAAAGAAGGGCCCCACAAGCCAAGGAAGGAGGATGCTTTCTAGACTCAGGGAAAGGTAGGGATGTCATTCTACTTAGAGCCTTCAGAGAGAACCAGCCCCACCAACATCCCGGTGGAAGCCAAGTGTAATCACTCTGTACTTCTGACCTCCAGGAGAGTAACATAATACACTTATGTTGTCTTAAGCCTCTCTGCTTGGGAAAGTTTGTTACAGCAACAATTGGAAACTCATACATTGAGTCACCGCCTCTGGTTTTCGCAGCTTCTCTGGGAGCAGCTGCTGTTTTTGTCCTTTCATAGCCAAGGAAATCACGACTACAGGACAGATTAGCAACATCCGAGAGGTTCCTGACCCATCCCTGGGCCTGAACCCAGGATCATATGACCTGGGGTAAATTATTTATGCTTAGCTCTCAATCCAGGCCAGGATCTGGTGAGGCCCATGAAGCAATCACTTTGGGCACAAAATTAAAGGAGGCACTAAAAAACTCATTAAGATTAAGTATATTTTTGTGCAATATTTTAAAATCAAAATTAGTGTAAAAAAATCAGAACGAACACAATATTAAACATTTAAACAAACATAGGATTGGTTTCAATTTCCACACCCATCAAAGTAAGGTCTGTATCCCAACTTCACAGGACTGTGGTGTGAAATTAATCTTAAAAATCTATGGAAAACATTTTGGGAACACCTAGCACTTAGTGAGAGCTCTTTAAATGGTGACATCGTTTTGCAGCATCACAGTGGGTAGCTGAAAGTGAGGGCCCAGTGTCAGGTTGCTGAGGTTCAAGTCCCTGGAGTGACCTTGAGCAAGTCATTCAATTTCTCACTGTGTAAGGTCGCCTGCAGACACTGGGCTGGCATCATCTTGTGGCCAGGTTCACTTTTCATCTTCTTACAGATGGTGTGGGCTCTTTCGTTATTCTTAATACTTCTTCTCCCCCTTTTATTTTGACCAGTTTGTTTACCTTCAGTGAGTTCCATCTTCTGAAAACCTTACTTTTGTGGGTCTACTTGCAACTCAATACCAAGCTTCAGGTGATTCCCATCCACGAGACCATGCTGGCATTTTTCAAGAGGTAACGCGACTTTAGTGTTGATTAATGAAATGTACTACCCTGTGGGTTTATGTCATGAGGAATAGTGTCCATGATACGATTTTCACGGTGTCATCCAAAGGAGATAAAAGACAGTTTCCTTACGTGGTTTTGCCTTCAAACCACTGAGCTACCTAGAAAAGGAGGAGCTATTGTTCCTGAGAATTTGTGTGTCCAGTCACAAGCATGATACAAAGGCACTCCTTTTGTTGAGGAGAGAATTACCATACTACATTGACTTTTAAAAGTTCATTTTTAATATACCTAAATCAGATCAGGTATTCACACTTATATTTCACTATTTAGCAGATAGAATTTTGGAGTTTGGGGATAAATGAAAAAAATAATGCCTGACTGTGTAAAGACTTCTTAGCCATTAATTTAGTTTCTTATATTTTCTAAATTTAAAAGATCTAAAATCCATAGACTGCAACATATCAGTGAAAAGTAATTACAGTGGCAACCCTGGGCACCCTTCGAATATGCTTTCTGAAGTAAGTCTCATTTCTACTCATTACCTCAGGTAATGCTAAGGGGCTGGTATCAGCATTTCCATTTTCCAGATGAGGAAAGTGAGGTAGAGATGAAGTGTCTTGTCAGAGAGCACACATGATGTGGGATGGAGCCCAACTTGAACCCAGATTTGCCAAAGCCCACAGTGCTTTGCTGCCCACTCCTGTCTTATGTCCACTCCAGCAGGCTCTGTGCCCAGCTTCTTGGGCACCGGGTTTAGCAAGGTCCTGAGGCTGCCTCTCTTTTGTTAGCCAAGAACTTCTAAAACTATGTTGTAAGGCACTATCTTCCCACTTCCCATGTGCCCCTCTGCCTATGAGTGTCTTTTGTCTGTTCACTCCTAGAGCGTCCACACTAGCAAGGTCTGCTGTGGCTGTTTGGGGGACATGGGGCAGTATGGGGTGAAGGAGTGAGTGCTGGCTATAAGGCTCCATTTGTGTTTCCTTAGCCTCTTGTGTTAGTCACTTTCCACCCATGGTACAAAATGCACAGATAATCAACTTTTAAGTAGGAAAAGTTCATTTGGGCTCCCAGTTTCAATCCATGGTTGACTGACTTCTGGGCCTGTGGTGAGGCAAAAGATGACCATGGGAGCTCCTGGTAGAACCAACCTGCTCACCTCATGGTGGCCAGGAAGCAAAAAAAAAGAGACCAGGATCCCAATACCAGCTTCAACAACCCAACCTCTTTCTACTAGGCCCTACCTCCTAAAGGTCCCACCACTGCCCAGTGGCACCACAGGCTGGAGACCAAGCCTTTAACATTTGTGCCTTAGGGGCACAATTAAGAACCAGACCACAACACTGCTATGGAAACTGTGAAGTCACACCACGTCATCCGAGCTGGCTGGGGAGGATGGGGGCCCTGTAGCCAGAGACAGTCCCAGGTGGGGACAGCCCTCAGAGGGTCTGCCCTTGATGGGAAACCACTGGTAGCATCAGCTTTCTCATCAGGTTCATGTTTCTGTCCCCATATGAAGCAGGAATGGGGACTCCAGGCATGGTGAGGCACAGTCCTGTTGTGCATGAGTGTAAGCAGATAAACACGTCTTCACATCGCAAGCAGCAGGTGGCCCGGTTAAGCCAAGTTTCATTTATATCGTTTTGAGGCATTTAGTCCATTCCTGGAACATCCTGGCACCACATTAAGTGAAAAGCCCATTTTTTTTTTCAGTCTTGTTATTTGGAGAAAGTGGTACTCAGTGCCAGTGTTCTACGTGCTGTGCTTAGCTTCTATATAATTTGCTTTGAACCTAGATGTTTTAGCCCATCCTCCCCTCTTTTTAATAGCCCAGAGACATGAGTCATGCACACCAAGAGAAACTGCCTCTTGGCTGCAGGTCAGCTCTTGTCCTGGCACTAGGGATAGGAAATGAGCACTAGTGTGGAGTGATTCATTGCAGCTGTGGTTTTGCTGGGAGAGAGACACATGAGAAGGAGGGGGTTGAGAGGTGTGGCCCCTCCACCAAGGGTGGTATTCTGGGGGCTTCTGAGCCTCAGGGTTCCTCCCCAGCCTACGATGCAGGTGGGGATTGCTCACCCTCAGAGGTATTTCACTTTCCCTCTGAATCCACACTGGCTCAAATCTGATCTGCACCCCACCACCTCTACGCAGTATTCCCCCAATAAGTCATCCCATTGCAGTGACGGGCAGGTCAGAGACCATGATGGTGGTGCCGGTATTTCAGACAGCCAGCTAACAGGACTGCCTGCCCTGGGCCCCTTCTGCCTCACCTTCCTTTCTGCCCTGACCTCCACTCTCTCCAGCAAAAGTTCCTTACCCAGGCTCACTCTGCCCATGGCCTCCAGCTCAGAGGACCCTGAGGCTCGTGTTTAAAACTGTGGCTGGTCCCCCTCCTCCCAGCTCACTCTTCTGTTCCACTGCAGTGGCATCTCTAAGGTGAGCCCTCGACAGGGGTCTCCATCCCCAAATGAGTCTCCTTCACTCAGGTATCTGCTCTCATTCCTTCTGCCCGCCCCACCCGTGCCTGCACTGCCTTCTTTCTCCATTTGTCCATGGCGGGAACTCCAAAAGAGCTGTCTCACCAGCCACAGAGAAGCCCCTTGGTTCATATTCACATCCTGTCTCTACAAGTGCTTGAGCAGATTTATGAGCTGGTATGGTGGCACAGAACCATAATCCCAGCACTCAGGAGGCTGAGGCACAAGGATTATAAATTCCAGGCCAGCCTGAGCTGCAGAGTGAGACCCTGTATCAAAAAACTCTAAAAAGACAAAGGGTTTATGAGCCTTCTCCTTACCCCCAACTTGCCTGGCACCTTGCCTGACAAATAATAGCTTACTGACTGATGAGTCCATCAACGCTTTTATGTGCTCAGTTCCCCTGAAAGAAGGGGGTCTCAATATGCTGGTGCAAAATTCAGAGAACACTGTGCCTGTCGCCACTTGAGGTGAGAAGGGTTGCAGACAAGTTTCTGTTTTTATGGATGGGTAATGCCTATTGGTCGGTGAGGAGCATCTGTCCGGGACATGAGATTGGTGGCACCAATGCTTCCATGTTTGTCCTCTCTCTTCAATGACCCACATGCTGACAAGCCATAGTGCAGGGTCTTGCAGCTTCTAGCCTAGCAAGGCTGCTGGCCACCAGACACTGCTCCCAGGTGAATGGCGCCTGTGGGGATTCCCAGCCAGCCTGAGCCAGAACTGGGTCCACATGGGTGTTGAGGCCATGGGGATGGCTAATTGAGGTTGTCTCAGTGGCCGATGGCAGACATGCTAGAAGCCCTTCAAGGCAAGACACAGGAGCAGGTCCTTGGAGATGAGAAGCAGGTTTGGGAGTAAGAATGGAGCTAGTTGGCAGTTTTAAAGTTGCAAATATTGATGAAATAATCGAAGTGACAGAGTATTCTATAAGCCATCTCTTGGGGAGGAGGAACAGCAGGTAAAGAGGACAGCTGGAGGCCATTACTTTATGGGGACCTCCAAAATTAGATTGTTGTAACACAAACTCTAGCCAGCAAAGGCCTGTGAGTCTTCTGGGATGGACCCGCTGGGTCAGTCAGTGTCTGAATGGAGGGCTGAAAGTGGCGACTGTGTGAGACAGTTCAGATGATCCCTTCCCTGTCTGTCCCAGCTGCATGCTAAGACAAGCAGACAAACCTGGAGCGAATAAAGACACATGTCTAAGCCTTTCTACCCCATTTCCACTCCTTTGGTTCATTCAACAAATATTTATTGAATATGTACTGTGTGCCCAGAACACGGATGGAAAGTTTCTCTACCCAGATAGCTGTTTTGGGACATCTTCAGGCTGACTTTTGTTGCTAAGTACATAGATTAAGATGGGAACATGTGCTTGCACAGATGCACACATGTGAACACACACACGCATATATGCAGAATGCACCTATGTGCACACACAAGCACATTCACAGTTAGCGCTCACACACACTCACCTTGGCACCTACAGACTGTTTTCCTCCCAGTGGTTATTTCAGAAAAACAAATACACTGTTCAGAATTCATTTTAACATTTCCTTGTAGGAAAAAAAAAATGTAAGCAAAACAGATACCCTCATCCATGGAAGAAAAATAATTTATTTCCACTCAATAGGTTAAGGATAAGGAAAACTGTAAAAAAAAAAATTAAAGCAGGCAAATTCTCAATTCTTTTAAAAATACTTAAAAAATCAAATTTTTTTTTCTTTTATTATTCATATGCGCATACAAGGCTTGGGTCATTTCAAAAAATCAAATGTAAAATATGTACAAAAACGTGCCTAACAGCTCCATGAATTTCCACAAAGTGGACACACCTATGTATCTGGAACTCAGGCCTCTTAGCATGAACCTCATCTCAGCTGCTACCCCCCACCCAAAGGTGAACAGTACCCTGACTTCTTTTACTTTTACTATTGATACAGCGTGCCTGCAGTTGAATTTTATATATGCAGGATCCCATAGTATATGCTTTCCAAATGTCTTGACTTCTCTCATTCAGCAGTGTATCTGTAAACTGATCCATGGGGTTGCATAAGCCATGGCTATTTTATTGCACAATCCCACCTCAGTTTATTTATCTTTTCTGATATTGACAGACATTCATGCTTACAGGAAATGGTGCTATTTTATGCAATCTCGAACATATCTTTTTGTATATATAAGTATGTGTTTGTTGTATACAAACCTAGGAGTAGAATTACTGTGTCATACATCATAAATTAGATCAACTTCAGGAAATACTGTCACAGTTTTGCAAAGGGACTGTACTGACTTGCTCCCTAACCAGGAGTGCATGGAAATTCTGGTTTTTCCATACCTTTGCCAGCAATTAGTATCTGCAATCTTTTGCTACTCTGATAGGTGGATAATGGAACTAGTTTGCCTATTTTCTTTTAATGTAAATTGAAAGTTGATTTACTTTTTATATATTTGTTAACAACTGGTTATACTTTTTTGCAGGGCCAGTACTGTGGTGTGACCTCAGGGCTTTGTGCTTGCTAGACAAGG